AGCGAGCGGGAGTGGCGGGCGCTGCGCGGCTGGCAGCGGGCCCTGCACCGCGCCGTCATGAGGAGCAACTACCACATGCTGCTCTCCCTCGGTAAGGGCCTGGCGCTGCCCGCGACCTCGAGGCGGGCGTGTGGCGAGGGGTCGGAGCGGGAGGTGGGCAGAGGTGACGGGTCCCCGCCGTCCTCCTGCCGGTCCCGTGCCGGTGGGACGCCCGGCTGCGCCTCACCTCATGCCTATCGCAGAGCCCGACGCTCCCAGACGTGATGCCCAGGCCCGGTCAGAAGGTGGGAACCAGCCGTGTGCTCGGAGCTGTGAGGATGGGGACGGGAGAGGTGATCCTGCAGAGGCCGGCACCGGTGAGTGGCTATAGGACGACTGGGCTGTTGGGACGCGGAGCACCAAAAACCCGCCAGCTGGGCTCTTTATGGGACATCAGCCTCTCTCCAAGGCGCTTGGTGTGTTGAGCATGGTCTTCCAAGCATGGCTGTTGGGCATCGCATCCCTACTAGTCTTACCAGAATGCTACATCAAACCACTTCTTCTCTCCTGGTTGCTGAGCTGTCTGCAGTTGCATGTGTCACACCTGCAGTCCCCTTGCAGTTAGGCCATGTCTGCATTGCCAGGCAAAGTGGGATGATGTTCGGTTTTCCAGTCTGAAGGCTGGCTGTCAAGAGGACTTTCTGTTCTGTGTGCACAAACGTGCACAGTGTAGTTGGTTTTACACTTGTCTGAAGTGTTCCTCCAATTCATTGATTGTGTCATGGAGGTATAAAGGTAATGTGTAGAGCATTAGTCCGTCTGCTTTTCCTTATTTATTTCATAGACTTTCCTTTTTTTGGTAAGTTTCAGTCATAATTCTCACTAGTGTTTTTCTGATGAGTTAGAAGTGGTCTGTGTTTTACCGAGAGTGACTGAAAAGGGAATGGCATAGCTCTGGCAGAACCAAAAGAGAAACAAAACTCAAGAACAAGATTTCAACTGGCACTCTCCTCTCCTGGGGCCACATAGAACATGTTTTCATTTGCTAATGGGTGCCACAACAAAATGGACATTACACTTGTGTGAAAATTTTGTGTGTTTCTGAGGCTCAAACATCTGCTGAGGGTTTTGTGACAAATATTTTAGGTCTGTTTAAGAGACCTTGGTCAGTGAGAACTAGACTTGAAGTGAGATTTTCTCTAGAATGTGAGTTAGAACAGAGCTGCTGTGCCTGGGATGGGATGAGAATTGGAATTAATTTTGTGTACAGAATTAAAATAACACTGGTTCCTATTAACAGAAGACAGCATAATCCATATTAAGCAAGAAGAAGAGTTGCGCGCTGCAGATCAGCAGGAGGGGGAGGCTGGAGAAGCTCCTGAAGAGCCCTGCCCGGGTGAGTAACTGCATACCTCGGAGGGAAAATGAAATAGAGGGATTAATTTCCAAGGTTTTTTTTTTTTTCCCACCTCTTCTCATGTATTCTAAATCTTCTGTAAAAAAGCTCACAAGTTTTGAACAGACATGCCACCAGTCCTGACGGGTAAGGGCTGGTGTTTCGTCTTTCCCTTCTCACGGCCATTTTGGAGTTTGCAAAGTATTTGGCCAGGTTTTATCCAAGCAGTGCAGTGTGGAATAGGAAATGTTTCATTCTCCCTTAAATTCTTTACTTTGCTTCCCTCAAGTTGATAGCGCTAAGCTGGTTAAATATCTAGTGCAAAGGGCCATTAGTCACTTTTTGGGGCAGATAGATTAACTTGGAGGAGGCAAAAACCAGTGCCAGAATGAGGTCTGTGGTTGGTGCCATCCATTGCATGGGGCTGCGATTGCAAGGAGACAGGACTGTGTGCACTGTTCTGGCTCCAGGGGAATCGGAGTGGCTGTGGCAGCTCCTCAGCTCTGCATCCCCTGCAGCCTTGTCTTGCAGGGCCGCAGTGCCTCTCCTCCTGCATATCCAGAGGCTTCAGGTTGCCTTTTCCCTCCTCCCTTCTCTTCAGTACTTTTTCTGCATACACAAGCAAGCGCACTGAATACTTGGTAGTGCTGTTGCTGTATGGGGAGGCTGTGCAGCCCAGGGACCTTTTTCTTGCCTTGTCACTTGGTGGTACCTCTTTGCATTACCAATAAACTATTCTGCTTTGGAGCTTGGCTGTCCTTACTCTTTACAAAGAGTAGCAGCTCTGTCTGTTGGCTCCACTGTAATTTTACTTGGCTTCCAGTGTATATAGCAAACTGGGTTTTTTTAGACCTTTCCATCAGGTTTCATTAACAAATTGGGCTTATGGGAACTTGGCTTGGGGGAAAACATAAACCAAAACAAGAGCAGGTTTCACCCTTGTGAAATCCTGAGCTTACGCAGTTATGATACTCCTGTCTTGAATTTTCTCCTTTAGCAGAGCAAGCGTTTTATGAGCCTGAGGCTTCAAGTCAGACCGAGAAAGGCAAAGAGGCGTATGCCAGGGAGCTGCCAGGTGCAGAGGGTGAGGACCTCCCAAGAGACCCTGACGCAGGTGAGGATTCCCTGGCAAAAACTCCCACTGCAGGAATTCCCCCTCAGGTGGCTCTTTGTGTTGTGTCTTCCCTGAGGCTTTGTCAGCACTGTTCTTATCTTTGTGAATTCCTGCATCTTCCGTGCTTTGCATCTTTCTCCAGTCTTTCTCAATTGTGTAAATTCTCCCCAATGAGCAGGATTTCAGACTTATGCAACTGATGTTTTATCATGGATTAAACAAGAGGAGGAGCCACGCTGCCCTGAACGACAAGACTTGGAGAAAGAAGAAATCTCTACAGACCCGAGTACAGGTCAGTAATGGATTTCAGCTGAGATTTCTGGGACAGTGAATCTAATTTAGAGTATTTTTTTTACACTATATTAAATGTCACGACATTATAAAGTAAGCCATGAAAGAACTGGAACAAACCTCAGTCTGCTCGTTAATATTTGTTCGCAAAAATTTCAGGTTCTGTCAGCTGAAGAGGCTCCTTCCTCCTTCAGCTGGCCTAAAACTGTCATAGGTGCTGTCTTGGGTTTCTGTTTAGGCAAGCATGGTGATGTGCTCAGGCCTTACGGATCAGGTTTTTACTTCCAGCTGGCTTGATGGTGTCTAAACCTGGTACCAATGAACATGGAGCCCTGACTTTGCATTCCCAAGCAGGAGAGTTATCCTGCAGTAAAAGAGAAGGCAGCTTTAATGCAAAACAATTTTAGGACATGCTGTTTGGAGATGTACATGCTAACATTCATTTGGAGGAGCGCACTTGGAGTACAGATCATGCTTGAGGTGGAGTTAATAGAGGGAGATTCATCTTTGGATCAAGGCTTAACCTCAAGGAACGGGTGTGCAAGTTTGGATGCGGATATTAATTAAATACAATCTCCTGGGCCACAACCCGGGACCACTCAGTATAGCTCTCAAGTGGATAACTGAGGAGGGAGTGCAGAGGAATATTTTGTGTAGCAATCAGTTGGTAGCCTGGAATTCCTTTACTTCATGTAAGTTATTTAGACATTCACAGCACGTGATGAAGTCACTATAGAGTAACTCAAGAGATAAACTCTCAGTATGCCGGTAACCACATGGGAATTGCTGATGTGAATGATTTTGCTCCACTGAAAAAGGTCGTCCCAGATATTGCCCTGGTGTAAGGATGGATCAGCTCCACCTAACTGCTTCCCAAGGGAGACCTGTTCCAGCTGCTCTGAGCGAGCTCACAGGGTGGGCTTCCCAGCCGACTCAGTCTGTTCCAGACCCTCCAGTCTGTGCTTACATGTAACCTGGAGTTACTGGGGTGAGAGAACATGCTTAGACAATTACTGTAGAGCAGCCGGTGCCTTTTACATTCATGCTTCAGCTTGGCCTGTGGTAACATGTTTTTGTGCTGATGTCCCAGTACACAGCCAGAGAAATAAGAGCTCAGGATGTTTTTGCAGTGCAGATAACTTTGGACTCAGCTGGTTGACGCTGCTGAGAGACCCATGGTCCTTTGTGATGCTCAGTGGAGTCTTTCTGTAGCAACTCGCAGATGTTGGAAGGGTCACGGGTCTTAGGAGACAGAAAAATCACAGAGCATTAGAAAGCAGGGCTGAAGAGCATTGGTGGAAATAATCCGGGAAATGAAACACTGGATATTTGTTGCAGGAAATGGTAATTACAGAAGGATGGAATTTGCAGGTTAGCATAACAGTTTTGTCCAATGGCAAATCTAGAACTGTGCCTAAGTAGCTCAGGCGCTGGGTACCTTTTTGCCTTGGATTATCAGGAGTCGTAAATGTTTTTTGAAGAAAGCAAGAGAGGCGTCTAGGGGAGAGGCAGTCTGACCAACAATTCTCAGTCTGGGCATGCCTCTGCATCGAGTCGGAGCTGTGTGCCTGCCTGGGGGTCACTTGTATAAGGTGCGAGAGCTTCCTTCACTCAGCACTGCTCCGAGCTCTCTGAACAAAGACATGGCCAGGGAGTGTCTCCCCCCAGAAGCCCAGCTGCAGAGACAACGGTTCATGTACAAAAAAGGGTGCACCCACACTGACTTGCTGAGCTGGCTTCGGTGCCTTCGCTTGGACCTTTGCTTCTCTAGATGCTCGGTGGAGTGTCTGGAGAGAAGCTGAGAGCACTATGGTGTGATGGTGTCCGGTCTATCAGGGAACTTAGATCTCACACTTCAGACATCTGAATGAGAGGGTGAAGATGAAACATTGCATTGATGAATTTTCATGTAGATTTAAAAAAAAAAAAATGGCAAAAAGCTCTTCTGTTTTCCCAGAGATTTTGTTTCAGTGGAATGCTGGTACTTGCACTCCCTTTCAGTATTAAAACCTCCCATCTTTTTTACTTTGTCTGTCTGTTAGCGTGACATGGCTGTAGACTTGGAGGGATACTCTTAAGAGGCTTCCTTAGTTGAAAGACTCTGAAATCTATCTGTTTCAGTGCATGATGAAAACACAAAGAGGGACCCTCCGGCAGATTGCTTTGAAAGCACTGTGTGTGACTCAGAGGTACCAGGAAGACCTGCAGAGAAGTTTTCCAAGGATCCTAGCCTCGGAGTGACATGGGACAGTCAGTGGAATTCAGAAATGATGGAAACAAACACCACTGGGAATGGCCTTGGGGGTGGTGCTCGGTACGACCGAGGGTTTGGTGAGCACTTAGACTTCTTTAGCACTCAGGAAAACAGTGTTGGAAAGAGACCGTGCGCGTACAACAAATGTGAGAGAAATTCCACCCAGCAGGAACATCTTCAGACGCCCCAGGGAGCCCGAGAAGGGGAGACATTTCCAGGCCCCACGTGTGAGAAGAGTCTCAACAAAAGGGTGTTCCATCTGCTGCACTCACAGCCGTGTGCTCCAGGTGAGAAAGACATTGGCCAGGGGGCTGCTCCTGCCTCCTGCGAGGGGCTGCCTGCGGGGCCACAGCTGCCCCGCACTGAGTGTGGACAAAACCCTGTGGGCGGAACCAGGCTTCGTGACCACAATGGCCTCGGCAGAGAGGAGCAGCCGTCTGCAGAAAGCGAGGAGAACTTCCCCGCAGAAAACCCATTAGCCAGCCCCTGCTGGGATCACCCGCAGGACAAATCAGAGGACTGCACCAGGTGCAGGCAGCACTTTGCGCCCAGGGGCAGCCTGGCAAGCCAGCAGCAGACCCAGGGCAGGGGCAAGTCCTACATTTGCAGCGACTGTGGGAAAAGCTTCGTTTGCCATTCGTGGCTCGTGAGACACCAGATGACTCACACAGGAGAGAGGCCGTACAAGTGCTCTGAGTGTGACAAAAGCTACAGGAGAAAGGATTATCTTCTAAACCACCAGCGCCGGCACTCAGGAGAGGGGCTTTTCCAGTGCCCCCTCTGCAGGAAAAGATTCGTGCTCAGGAGGAGTTTCATGAAACATCAGGAAAGTCACGTGCAAGAAACACATTTGACGTTGGCTGGTTGGCCTTGCACAGAGATCAGGGGGTCTGTAATGCACTCCATATAGAAAATCCCATCCATCCAGCGGTTTTGCAGCCCCCTTGGCTGTCACCCTTGCTGGGCAGGAGGCAGGGCCGTGGCAGGATCCCCCAGCTCTGTGCTGGACCATGGCAGGAGGAGGAGGAGGCTGTTGAACAGCCATCCTGAGGCCCCTCCCAGGCACAGGGAGAAGGTTGGGGGGTTATTTTCCACAGACCGCGTTGGAACAGTCTGCAGAGCTGTTTCACAGCTTTCACTGGAGCCTGTAGCTGTTGGGGACGTGTTGGAACTGTGTAGGAAGTCTGCAGCGCACAGAGTTACTGCTAGCCACGAATCCGCACAGGAGAGAAATCACATTGACACACGGAACAATTTGTAATGCTTCAGGCTGGAGAATAATCTGAAATGTTATCCCTAGGCTGCTGGGAGTCCAGAGTCCTGGGACTGGGCTGAAAACAAGTGAGTTAAAGTTACTAATTGTCCACCAAAGCAGTGAAACAGTGTCAGGAAACACCCACTGGTGTGAAATGCTTTGAGAAAGGAAGTGTTGACCCTGTGGCTGCTTGAAAGCAGCCTCTTCAGGAAACGGCAACTAGACAAAGGGGAGCAGAGCCTGAGAGGCACCTTGTTCCCACAGTTAAATCACAGAGCTCGTGGGGCTTCATGCTGCTGAACCCTGAGAGAGGATTCCTGAAGGCTGGGGTCCTCACCTGGAGTTGTAGAATGACCAGGGAGCCTGGAGTATGATTTTAATTTTGCATAGCCTTAAAGTTGTGTTGCACTTACTTTACCACATTGTTACAGGTCTTTTGGTTTTGTTCCATTTTCTGAATCCTACGAAAACAGAACATTTAGATGCTCGTTGAACATTCTCCTTCAGAAATTGTATTTTTGCTCAAATTCAGTGTCTCTTAAGGGGGAGAGCGCTGTTGAGAGTCTGACATGTTGTGTCACTGCAAGGACACAATTCATTCCTTTTAGTAATAAAAGAGCCTGGATATATCATCTGTTGCCTTGTTGTCAATGGTGTTGAGCCTCGTGGAAAAAAAATACAGAGGCAGCACTGGCTGAGTCAGGAAAGGGCCCATTGTGGTTCAGGGCTCCTTCACTGTCAGTCGTGACATATTTTATTAAACAGCCTTTTTTACGTGCGTGTTTCTGCTTAAGTTTTCTTTGATGCTTTTTTTTGTTGGCTGGAAGTTTCTCTTTTTTTTTTAATTAAAATTGTTCAAGAAATGCCAGGGGGAGGAGGAAAGATGAGCAACGCTGAAGCAAGAGGAGAAACTCGGGGTCTGCTGTCCCCTGGTTCCCTGTTCTCCAGGCAAGTCTTTGCTTTAGAAGAGGTGGCAATAACCGACAGCACCGGAGGGGTTTCCCTCCGGCCTGGGGTCAGCCCGCCCTCCGGGCCGGGGCATCCCCCTTTCCCGCCGCCGGTCCTCCGTCAGGAGGGCCTGGGCCTGCACCCCCTCCTCCTGCGGGCAGCCGGGCCCGGGCCTTTGCGGCGGACCCGCTTCACGGGAGCTACCCCCGTCCCCGCCGCGCGTTTGCCGGCGCCGCACCGCCCCGTTCTCCCGGCC